CATGACTATCTGTTTTGAATTTTTATTCAGCTGCAATGTTTGGGATTCCACTCCGCTTTCCTCTTGCCACACTTGCAGAGATTAGTGTTTTAAGCAAATCAAACCATCCAAAATAGACACTCCTTGGCTTGTCTGAAGTGAAGGTGATTGACAGATTTGCATGCGCATTACTTTCTGACCTTCACTTTTGTGAGTAGATGACATAAAAGAAGCATCACTTTAGCTTTTTAGACGTGTCCAGTGCAAGACTACTACTAGAATAGCATGCAAATTAAGTCTTGTAGGTTTTTTTGGACAATCAGATGCCTCCACCACCAAGAAACGCAAAGCCGCAGGAATCCGAAATGAGATCTATCCTGCCTCCCAATTCTGACAAATGTTTGCTTGCTTTTGTTGTAAATTAGACGTTCAGTGAAGCAGCACTGTACCCCGTTTTCAGAGCAACCTCAGTCAGATCAGCAACTAGATTACCCTTGCAAACTTTTTTTACCTCAGAATCTACCTTTATTAGCCTCAATTACCTTCGACCTATCCAATCGACCCACATTATCACAACAAAAATTTAATCGCGCTGACCAGTCAACAGCACTCCAACCGCTTTGGCCAAGGATTTGGAATCTTTTTTACGCAAAAATAAGTGATCCTTCTCCCCAGGCATCTGGAGAAGGAAAGGCTCGCGGTCACCCGCCTTTTGGATTATAAATGTGAATTGCGCAGCGACCTCTTTTGCGTGTGATACTGAAAGTTTCTCCCAATAAAACCATTTTTGGGCAAAATATCTCCCAAAAGGGGCCGGAAAAGCTTCTCAATTACATCTTAAGCACACACGTTGGCTCTTTTTTGCTGTGCCTTATGTACGAAACGTTACTCATGCGAAGAATTCAAAATTTCCGCGGGACAGAAGGGGAACGATTTTGACTTCGTTTCCCACACTTTTTGTACAGCTTTTAATAAATCATTAATGATAAAATATTACTTAATAAATTTAGCAAATGCAAAACTTACGGTCATACTTGGAAAATTGCACGTTTCGTTGCCATTGTGTTGGAAATAAACGTCATCATCTTTTATGTTTTTTAATGAAAACATCCTAACCGTGCGATTAATTCTGCAAAGCAAATAAATTAATCTTGTTTCATATTTTAGTGGTTCTAAGTTAAAGGCAGTAAAAGTTGTGAATTAAGTGCTTCTAAATGATGCCTGCTCTGATAGACAAAAAATGGGACTTGTGAGTCTATCACATTTACAAGATCTACACAGTCCAAGCACTCCTCACCTTTTACCTCCTCCTCCTCTTCCTCCACTACTATTGTCCACTATCTTCCTTCCTATCTGTCATCGTTCTCTGGTTAATGGTTGAAGGTCTCCAACCCATTTAGACTACGTTCGTGTAAAATGTTGCCAATTTTGATAATGGTGTAGAGGTTTATTATGTTTGGATGTGGAGCCCCTATTCACGGGTAGAGTGTACCTCAACCAGTCGCCAATCTCCATTTCCTTTGTGTACCTCCTTGGGTTAGAGTACGTGCATTTGCCGAATTACTTAAGGGGTGTTGTTTGCTATAAGAAAGTCAGCGAAAACCCTCTGCACCCTAAAGGCGTTCAAGAGGAAATAAAGTTTTTTTTAGGTTTGCGAACTAACCGTTTTGAAAACACATCCCCGCATGTTGGAGGCTCTTCTACGCCAAACACTTCATCATTGAATCGGTATTCATTTGTAGCCTTCGACGTTGATCCTATGGAGGGGGCGGCGCATTCAAGGATTGGCGATTCGCGCCCTTCATCATCTATTTCACTTATGTGTATGTTTACCTCCCTCAAAGACAATCTTTCACCAACTCCAATGGTTAAGTTCCTAAACTGTAAGTAAAACTGTTTAAAATTAACATCAGAAGTGTGCCCATTCCTGTACGGATTTTGTAGTCAGCGGTAAATCTTACCGAAATGGCGTATCTCCTATGGCTGATACGTATGCGAATTGTTAGCTGTCGTTTGTAAACACTTCCACGACTGTCAGTTAGGTGCTCGAGGAGATTGAGATCATCAACAGTTTCATTCTTACACTTTGTTGAGGGAATGAAGTGGACATAACCTTCTTGTACATCTTTGAGAGAAAAAATTTGCACATTCGCCACACGAACTTGAGACCGCAGCATTATTAACTTCCCTCGATGCGGACCCTTTAATAAAAGCACAAAAGCACTGTAAAATAATTGTATCGCCTCTAAATCATTCGCATCTCACAGTCTGACTCTTTGAAACACCCTTTGAGGTCTCTCGCTTCTCACTCATAAAGTGCGATAAACGTACGCTCAACACCTTGTAGAACACGTCCACCCTCGCCACTGACTGCCCAGGCAGCAGGTCCCGAAGCTGCATTGCACTGCACGAAATCTGCACCTCTGTGAATTGTCGATCACTTCGATTCGCCAACTGCACAGACAGCACATTCGGTTCGACTTGGATGCGAGGCAACGCCACAGATGCGTGCAACGTTATATGCCTCAGGACTGTCAAGTCGCTCATTGTAAGCCTGACTTTGACATTGACACGACCACCCCAACTGATGCCTTGCGGAGTTGGCATAGCCAATGCCAAGGTTAGAGCATCAAAATCCTCCACTGTCAGGGTGGACTCGAGCAAGGCGGCGCTGCGTAGTTCAGTCAAATTGGAAATGCTAAACTTTAAAGAAGATGGGTTGGGTAGAGGTGATAAACACACAACCAGACAAACAAGCAAGCAAAATGGAGTGTTGGCACATCTCCTACCACTGCACCAAGTGTAGGTGGGTCGTATTGTAGCACCGAGGTGCCACCTTTCCTGAGTGTATCTGCGTAGCTACGACAGGTGTCAACTCAATGTGGTCCTCATGCAGTGTAACTTGGGTGGGTGGGTGGAGGTGGGGGTGGGGAAGGATGAGCGGAGAGTGATGGAGGAAAGGGAAAGAATGAAAAAATAAGTGTATGAGAAATACCATCCGATGGTGCAGAGATTTGCATTGCCAGTAGGTGATGCGGTATTGTAGAATAGCTGAATAGTTGAATTCATCAGCTGTATGATCATCGAAGAGTAAGCACCCGGAAAACGGTGGCCGTACAACACGGAGGTTAATGTCCTCAGAACTGACATCGGCGTTGTGGGCCACCTAGTAGAGGGAGGGTGATGGCAGTTGACAGCTGAAGAGCCTTTTGAATGCGGGTGGTCAGAGAATTGATTTTAACAGAACAACCACTTTGGCCTGTTAATTAAGCCAATGTTTGGACGTGTTAATACGGATAAGATATTCTTGGAATCGTGATGCCAAAAAGTAGAGGAGTCCAACTTAATTATTTCCGGTGAATGAGGAAAGAGGCCGAATACGCGGAAATGCAACCCCTTTGTTAGTAAAACGAATCCTGGCTCAAAACTTATTATTTTGTGAGCGCACTGACAGTTCGCGCATTATTTTTCACGCAATCCTGTAATAACCTCAGACCACAGTCAACCAGACATAAAATTTAAATAATTTATGGCAGTTACCATTCATTATTCTGAGAAGGAATTAAATAGCTATATTTTGGCCACCTTTACCATTTAGGCGATTTCCATAATTAGTTTTAATGTTCTCTTAGAGCATGCAATTTTTTAAAATACACAAAATTACATCAAGCCTAAGATGGGAAGAATGATTAAATTTAAACTTCACACAACCACTAATTAAAAGTTGAAATTCAGCGCATCAGCATTAAAGTCTCAAAAGAATTCGTATCAAACCCACTGAATTTTGCATTAAAAAAGTCGATTTGTTATGCTGAACTGGTGTCTGGAGTACTCTGCCGCATTTTGTAAATAATTTTAGGCTGTCATTTTGGGCCTTTTTTTCGCTAGTAAATCAGGCGTCAGTACAACTATAACACCTTGTTCTGACAAGTTGTTGGTATGTCTCTCTTGTGTTGCAAACTACATATTCGTTTGGGTATTTTGACGAGTCTTGATACTGTTACTGAGATGGGGTAAAATTAAGGATATTTCTTGTAATAAAGAGGAACTTTTAAGAAAGGTATGAAAGGCATAATTGATTGATGCAAGTTACCTCAAAGAAGATGTATGTTGTGCCATTTACGGTTGACGTAATCGTCACTTCCTTTTGCAATTCAACCATTACTTTGGAGTAGAATGTTGGTATCTCCCTATAGTAGCTGTAAACTCCGTCCGACAGGAAACAGTGGAGGCAAAATCGGCTCGGCACTTGTGGGATGACGTTGAAAACTTGTGCGGATGTTGATGACACCACTATGGTAGTTAGAAGTGTGTCTTTGCCTTGTTCAGTAAAATAACCGCCCGAGCAGGCGCTACTCGATTGTGGATGGGGACAAGACAAGTAGAAGTGACGTTGAGACAGAATTGAGTCTCCGTGCGCCTCTACAACCAACTTTTCATCCTGTACACGTAGATTAATTTGCGGTGGAATGTGATTATCCGATTTTATACGAATGTGAAAGGTCTCCGTGAATGCATTCCAAAGTGGTGGAGCGTACTTTAGCATTTGCTTCAATGTTAAAAGGTGCAAAGGCATCTGTTGGTCGGTTACACTGTCAAAAAGGCCTCGTGTATCCTGACAGATGATCCGAAATTGAAATTCATCGTTCATCGTTTGATGCGATCCGTCATGTGCATAGAGTAGCATTCCTTTGGTCAAAAGACTCACTGGCAGGAAGGGCGTGTCAATGGCACAGTTTTTACCCGGTTCCACTATGTACACTTTTCCACTTTTTGGTTGTGATACTATTTCAATGATATACTCAAAGAGTGGAGGGGATTTAATTTGAGTGGGTGGCATTTTCAAGCACTCCTTTCCCTTAATCTCAATCAACGGGGGTTGTATTGTGAGAAATTCGTGCCTCTTAGTAAAACCCACCTGTTTACGCAAATGGAGCGACAAATTCAGCACAGAGGGCGTAGCTTTTGTGTCTTCATTGCTTTCCAAAATGTCAATGTCAAAGATGTGCTCGTGTTTGGGTCGATAGGCGTGAAGGTGTACACGAAAATGAAATTCATCTTTCACGTAAATCAAACCCTCTCCAATGCGTAATTCGGTATTGGACCAATCATTAATCACTCGTCTAAATTTGTACAACAATTGACCAGTGTTAATATCACTTTGTCTAAAAACTGATCCTAATCCAAGGTAGACTTTTTCTTGATTGTCTTTTTGTAAGTAAATGTGTCCATGCTTTGTCACCTTAGTGATGGTGTAGTAAATGCTTTGGGGAGGATGCATGGGAGCGGCGTCAACTCTAAGATTCCATTGTGTTATGCAATTTCCATGCGATGCTACAACAGTGGCGGCTCGATGAAGTTG